GAAGGCGAAGACGAAGAAGAAAAAAAGGGGAAATTGGGGCTTGATGTTAGTGCATCGTGTCGCCATGCAATGCCTGCACCCCGGATTGCATACACATTTTAGCACCGTCTGGTCTGCTTCTCTCTCTCTGTCTCTCTCTCTCTCTCTCTCTCTCTCTCTCTTCGCCTGCCCTTTCCCTGGCTTGGGTTAGCTTCCGTTTCGCAGACTGCCCACACCTGCATTACGTTCACTGGCCTCGCAGGATGAACTGTTGCGGACCTGCAGCTGGCGCCCTGCTGTGCTCCATGGGCGTTATTGGAGAATGTCCCGTCTGCTCGTAATAACCGACTCTGGGCCCCCATCTCCGTCCCCTTCCCTCCCCCTCTCCACTGGATGATGCCCGGAACCTGAATGCAGTGACGGTTCAGTCTGAGTCTGCAAGGGAACCACACCCCCAGCAACCCCCTGCTTTTGTAGCCGCATGGGACCCTGGACGACGTCGTGACTACATGTCGTGCTAACCTGGAACTCATCCCTTGTGGTCTAGCGCTGTTGTGTGCTGTGTTGTGTTCTGTCAAATCTGTACGGGAGGTGCCCGTGCTAAGGTCCCCTTTAGCGTGCGGTAGTGCTAAGCCCAACGCAGTCTGTTCGCTCCGTCTCCACGATTGGACCACTCCCAAATCGACCTGCTGACAAGTCAGTCGCTGCAACCTCCTGCACCTTCCTGCACCTCCTGCTGCTGGTTTGCCTTCACCTACACGGCGGTACGTACCTTTTGGTTCTATTTTGCTACCTCCCCCGGGCTGAGGAGGAGGTCGTTTCCCAGGCCAGGTCCCTCTACCTACGTACCGTAGTACGGCCCCCCCCCAGGCCCCTACCTCACCTCTCTGCGACCTGGTTCTCTCTCAAAGGTACCTCCCCAGTTACCACTAAAACGGTGCGTGTCCGTACCTACCTTACCGTTCGCACCTTCGTCCGCCTCCTCGTATCCGATTCTCTGGGGGAGACAGAGATCGCTTCCATCTCTTTTGATCCTCACCTTCTCTTTCCCTTCCTTTTCCTTTCCTTTTCGACCTTTTCCCCCCTCCCTCGTGCCCGTGTGCCCCAAATCTGCCTTTAGCGACAGATCAATGCCAGGCTTCGTCGAGAAATCGTCCCGCTCCTTCTCGGCGTGAGACCTCACACACCACCAACACGAAAAAAGTCAAAGTTGGCTCAAAAGTGGCTTTGCCGTCCAAGGAACGATTTCCCTCCTTCAGAGCATCCCATTGTCTGTTTCCCTTGAAACGTCCCAACGACCACCTTCCATTCGAACGCTCTTTTCGTCCCGACTTCCCACCCGCACTTGCACTTGGCTGCTGCGCCTTCCTCCTCCGCAGCCCACCACGCAGCCAGCACCGACGGACAAGCCCAGACGGGATCAATCAAACTGCAGGAAACTAAAAACGCACACGCGCCCTTTCACTAGCGGCCTGCCTATCCTGCTTCCGTTCTGGCCTCTCTGCCTTTTACATCTGCGTCTGCCTCTAAACAAGGTATTCATCCTGTTTACTTCCGCAGCTTCAAGTCGACGACGACATTCGTTACCTGATCTTCGAATCCGACTTCCTCTGCGCGTCGATCATCACCTCTGTACCAAACTTCAACCTTCCCGGCCCGCCACTGCGACCTTTGGCCTGACCTCATCGTTCATGCGCCGCCCGTAGCATTCCCGTCAGCCACACCACCATCTGGCCAACGACCTGTCATTCGACCTCCATGCCGGAATCCTCTTCCAGTCTAGACTGACGCCATACTCGATCCTCCCCCCGAGACAAGACTTGCACCGCCAGGATTCCAACCACCAACCTCTCCCAGCGAACCCCCCGATCTGGCGTCGACTTCCTCAAATCAATCCACCACCAGCTGTGTAGCAACCACACCGCCTTGCATGGCGTCTTCAGAGCAGGAAGCGACGCATACCCGACCGACTATGTCGCCTCAACGCCCCAACTTCATCGACCTTCGGGCGCCATCCAGTATGTCGAACGTATCGAGACCGCTGCGATCCCCCAGACTTCACGTTGCAGGTGAGGCGCCTCCCGAATTGTCGCCTCTCGATGCCTTCGCCCTCCAGAGTCGCCTTTTGGCGAGGCAGCTCCAAGCTGCGGCCAACGGCGACGGACGACGAATGAGCCGACTCCCGCCTTTGACGACCGAGAGCCCTCTGGTTGTCCAAGGCCGATCTGACTACTTCCGCTCCATGTCCAACGACTCTGGCTCTGATGAAGTGGCGCTTCCCGAGCTTCAGAACCCTGGGTTTGGCATGAGAACCGAGATGGAGGACGCTTTCCCCTCAGAGAAGGACCGCCCGAGATCAGTGCATCCACGAATGAGCCGAATCCCGCCTACTCCCGACGAGAACGTTCCCCTTCCTCCCCAGCCTCAGCTTGACACGATGCGTGGACGTTGTATGGAATCTGTAGGAGAGGACCACGATGAGACAACCTTCGGCGCCAGGAGAGAACAGTCACCAGCGCCTATGGAGCACCCGATCAGCGACTCCCTCCTTCATGCCTCACCACCAGCAGTACCTATGCGTTCTCCAGCACGCTCCCGCGATAACTCACTTGGGACATCTCCTGAGAAGTCAAAGGCTCATTCTTTCGATGGTCCCGGTTTGGCCCCCCCAAGACCCAACTTCATTGCGCGATCAGCCAGCTCCATGTCCTCGCCTCTCGACAACGCTACCGACGACACCTCAATGAGCAACTCCATTCAGTCTCTTCCTCCACGCAAGCTGTCGAGTGGCAGCGCTTTCGCATCGGCCGCGTCCCCGAACCTGAACCCTGGACCTTTCCAACGTTCCCCATCCGTCAGCTCGGAAGCTTCTATGCCACTGCCGCGACCTTCTTTCAACTTCTCAAGGCCGATGAGTCGCGCAGGCACTCCTGGACTGGAAACACCAACGCGCCAAGCCTCATCAGACAGCCAGCCATCCTTTGTATTTGCAAATGACGATTCAGCCAACACTCCTGTCAGCATGAACAGTGAAGGTTTCCCGGATCCCATGCATGACGACGGAAAGGCGGCCCCCTCATACATCTATTCTAAGTATTCACTTCCTAGAGGCAAGATGATTCAACGGTCGGTTCCTCTCGATCCTCATGCACAGGCCTCTTTCCAGTGGGAACAGCCCATGACTCAGCCCAGCAACGTCTCGACGATCGCTCATGGAGCGCCCCCCTCACCTCCGACACGGCCGTCCAGCTCTGCGGAGGTAGGTGCTCCTGGCGATCTCAACTTGACGAAGAATGGCATGAACCGTGGTGGCCCTGCGCCGCAGCCGTCCCCCAACCCGAGCCGCCCATCTACCGAGAGCCGACCATCAGAAGATGACCCGAGAGGCCGCGCTCTCACATCTCCTGTCCACGATGCCGCCCGTGGTCAGACTGCCATGTCTATGGCAACCACCGATTCCAGCAGTACTATTAAGGGCGCTCGATCTCTAGCTTCGGGTGCACCTACCACTTCGGAAATGACAGCCGAAGAGCACCTGGCCAAGGGTATCGAGTGCCACGAGAATGGCTCCGTCAAGGAGTCTACTTACCACCTTCGCCATGCTGCCAAGGGCGGAAACGCTACTGGCATGCTTCTATATGCGTTGGCTTGCCGCCACGGCTGGGGCATGCGGCCCAACCAGCGTGAGGGTGTTGAGTGGTTGAGAAAGGCAGCTGAGGGTGCCAGTGTTGAAATTGCCGATGATGAAGACCACGTCAAGGAGGGCAAGTTTGTGGATGCCACAGAGAGGAGGACGCGTAAGGCACAATTCGCACTCAGCATCTATGAGCTCGGTGTGAGCCATATGAATGGATGGGGTATTGAGCAGGATAAGGCTCTTGCCCTGCGTTGCTTTGAGATCGCTGGATGTAAGTTGCCAAAGGATTTCATCTCTAAGACGTCTCACTGACAGAACACTAGCTTGGGGTGATGTTGATGCATTGGCTGAGGCAGGATTCTGCTACGCCCAAGGCATCGGATGCAAGAAGAACCTTAAGAAGGCCGCTGGTTTCTACAGACAAGCTGAAGCCAAGGGAATGAACATGGTCGGCAACAGCTGGTACGTATTGCCTCACAATGAAAGCACCCAGGAAGCCGCAGTGCTGACATGAAACCTCGCAGGATCCACAAGTCAAAGTACAATGACGATGACAGCAACGGAAAGAAGTCCCGCAGCAAGTCCAGGACGCGCACCATGTTTGGCATCAAGACTGGCTAGCTACGAGTCTTTTAGGAGTTCTTTCTGCGCGCGCATGGCTTCTGGCGGCATTTCACGGATCATGACCACTGCATCACCACATCACCTTCATACCCCGCATCTTCGGAGTTTTGGGAAGCTGGCTCTACGGAGTGCAGCTGTTTTTTCTGGGCATTTCAAATTCATGGATGGGAATTGTGCCATTTTCTGCATTCAGCAAGGTACGCTACACGGGAGCAGGGGGAGGACGAGGTTGTCCTAATACCCATGCAACAATGGACCAGCCGTCTGCTCCGTGCCACGGGAGGTGGAAAAAGTGAGGGATCGTTTAGCGTGTACAGACCTTGATTGAACATACCCTTGGTTCCTATGTATATACCACATTTGCTTTGAGGGGAGGGCCATTAAATCCTCCTCAGAAGTTTTCCTTTGTTACTTGTTACACAAAAAGGGCTTTGCCTGCATAATGGCAGTCGCAAGGCGAATGGGGAAAAGCCTTCCATAACTGATCCCTGGATCTACACCTACACCTTGGTGCCACATGCCTCCATACTGATGTCTTGGTGATTGCTGGAATCAGACTGCTTTACTACGATTATTGGTTGCTACAGGGCCCCTACCGGAGTCAACTTAATCACTCAACAACATGCGTTTTTGGCTTCATCAGTGTCAATGTCTTCTATTGCCATTGTCCATTGTGTTGGTACATCAACTCCTCGTCTAGGGAGCATTTTCATTAGCCAGCCTCTCGCAAGCCCGTATCCTCATAAACCCGTCAGCCCGCTCATGCATCGACCTCCATCGCCTCGCCAGCCGGCACCTCCGTTACGCTCACGTAACGGCCAATCTCGTTCTTCTTGATAATCTTCTCGTTGAGGACGGCGGTCGTGCCCTGCTTGAAGGCGTAGCTCTTGAGCTTGGCAGTACGCTCGTTGGGCTTGACGAAGCCGCGCTTGAGCGTGGTCTTGTCCTTTGTGATGACGGCGACGTCGACGTTGCTTCCGGAACCCAGATCGTTGAAGATACCGGCCTGAATGGCATCGCTGGCGAGCTTAACAGCCTCCTCCTCGTTCAGCTGGGGCTTCCACTGGGTCTCAAAGACGGACATGGCGGCGAGGGAGCCGGAGCCCATGGTGACGTAGGGGAGCTTGTCGGTGGAGCCGTGGGCGTGGACGGTGAACAGGTGGGTTCCCGTGGGGTCGACGCCGGCAACGACGAGGTAGGCGCCGATGTGGCCCTGGTACTGGAAGAGGTGCTGCTTGAGCATGGTCATGCAGGTGACGACGCGGGGCTTGCGGCCTGTCGAGAGGGCGTGGAGCTCGAGGTTGGAGGAGATGATTGCGGTGGTGAACTCGGTATCGGCAGCGGTTCCGGCACCCGCGCACCAGATCTGGGGGGCGATGTAATGCAACTTTTCACAGTTCTTGTCCGCTACGATGGGACCTGACGTCGCTCTTGTATCGGCCGCAATCTGAATGGATAGTTAGTACGAGCTTGTGGTACGAAAGGGCGTTACGCGGGGGCGAGTCCAATGACTGGATCCATGCTACTAGCTGATGGAGGGGAATCTAGTGTTTGGGAATGCTAACCACTACTCCGCCGTCGAATATGCATCCCACGATAGTGGTACCTGTGCTAGTCGCCTTGGGCAGGGGGACACCTCGGGCGTGGAGGGCCGCATTGCGGTTGTAGTTGGAGAAGTCGAAGCCAGGCATGGTTGCTGACTTGGCTGGCTAGACCCGGACGCTGTGATTGTTCTTTCTCGGTCGTCGGGTTTGTGGGAAACTTCGTGATCGTTCGGTCGTGGTGGATGGTGAGGTTGGCAGAGGTTCCGCTGGGCGTGGAGATGTTGAGGGACGTGGTGAAGGCAGGAGCTGATGACGAGGCTAAAAGCTGCCTTCAATGGTGTCGCCCGCTGTTTGGGGAGAGCTCATGCAGCGGGAGGCACCCTGACACCGACAGATGCCAGTGCTGATTGGCCAGGGACGCCCCATGAAGCTGCCTAAGCTTCACGTGATCTTCCTAGTCGATGCGACCGGGGTGACGGACGGGCCCAGTAGCAAGCAGGAGCTCCATACGAATTTTTGGGAGCAGCAGCAGTCTGTCCCGTCGCCAGAGACCAGGCAATCAGACGGTGCAACATCTAGAAGGCATCACTCTTCTGCCTTAAGGCCAATTCTTTCGCGTTTTAACGTGTGAAACTAAACCAATCTCCTTTTTATCGGCATTTTGGCGCTCAGCAGTCTTTTCTAGAGTTGACAACGTCCCTGCGCAATACTCACTGGTTGCGACTGTAGCAACCGCACCCAGCTGCTTGCGACGAACGGGAAAAGAAAAAAAAGAAAAAACTTCCCGTATATCAACAACGCGGCCCCTCCAACGAATGCAAAGAACCACCCCCAGCTGACCCAACAAGTCCCTCCTCCAACGAGCCGGTTGCTCAGCATTCCATCATGGCTTTCGGCTTCTCGAACCAAGGAAACGCCATGCTTGGAAGCACGGCTGGAGGCGGAGGACTGAATCAAGGCCCCGAGCTGGAGGTGATCCAGACCGAGGTGAGATCTGGTCACCGACACCGTCGATGCCGTTGTCTATCACACGTTCAAAGCTCACCAACTAAAACTATTGTCCAGGCGCTTGGTTTCAAATCGATTGCCGGAGACGCGAAGCTCCGGCTGACGTCCGCATGGTCCCCTGCACCCGCCGACACGGCCTCCCTCCTGAGCATCGCTCCCCGCCGGGGACTCGTCGCCGCCGCCGGCCCCGATGAGATCACGATCGCCTCGACCGAATCTGTGCGCAAAGGTTTCGAAGCCGATTCTAAGGAGAGCGACAGCTCCGATGTCCGCGCCTTCCAGCCCCAGGTCAAGCTGCCTATGCCCATGAGGGTGTCGCAGCTCGCTTTCAGCGCCGACGAGAACTACCTGATTCTGTCTGCCGAAAGTGGCGGCGGTCTGGCCGTCTATGAGACCCAGAGCCTGCTCAACGGCGGTACTCAGGCGGCCTTCGAGCTTGCAACGAACGGGGAGACACTGAGGGCGCTGGTACCAAACCCTACGATCGAGAAGGCAGAACTGGTTGCCATTGTGACGAATAACGGGAACTTGCACATGGCGAACTTGAAGGATAGGAATATCAGCAATGTTCTGAAGGCGCAAGTCAGCTGCTTAAGCTGGAGTACCAAAGGAAAGCAGCTTGTCGCAGGCTTGGCGGATGGTACTATCTTTCAAATGACCCCCGAGGGCGAGGAAAAGGGGCAGATCCCACGACCGCCCGGCGTAGAGAACGCTCACGGTAGGTTTTTGTGATGCGAATTTCGTTGGGAACGCGAACTGATCATCTCCATTCAGTGTCTTCTCTGAGTTGGCTGGAAAATCACCTCTTCCTGGCCATCCATACCTCAACAAAAGAATCTCCCCCCACATCAGTATACCACATAATCACCAGAAAGCTCCCGTCAGACTTCACATTTCAGAAGCTCACAGACCCCGTCGACCCCTTTGGCGCAGAGAACACTCCTCATCACTCAATATTACGACTGAAAGACTTCCCTCCTAACCTTACGGATCTGTTGATTGTCGCGTCCACAGCATCCCCTGATATCGGCCTTCTCAGCAGATCAAAGACGCCGCTGTCTCCGGATAAGCCAGCAGACAGTATCTCCAATGTTTTCACAACAACAGAGCTTCTCGACGACTCCAAGCGTGCGTCTCTCCCTATGACGGAAGACTTCCAGAACACAGTCCCGATTGGCGTTGCTCTCGACTTGTCGAGCAAAGAGAAGGTCTACAAGCCTCTGCCTGCGGACGAGGAGCTTGAGGACTCACCGGGCCCACTGCCCGGCTTCTGGGTCTTGAACCATGAGGGTGTTCTGAGCTCATGGTGGATCGTGTACGAGGACTCCATCAGAGGAGGCACAACTTACCCTGGCATGGCTGTGCTTGACACGTCTGCTCCAGCGCCTGCTCCTACACCCTCGGCGCCTGCAGCAGCTCCAGCCGCTCCAGCAGCTGCGTCACCTTTCGGTGCACCCTCTCAGCCATCAGCGTTCGGCTCTTCTGCGAGCTCGACGCCGGCATTCGGTGCCCCCTCTGCTTTGGGCGGTGGCCAAAAACCGGCAAACCCTTTCGGCAGCGGCGGATCCACCCCTGCATTTGGCGGCAGCTCTGCGCTAGGAGCCAAGAGTTCACCATGGGGCACATCAAATGCCTTGAGTTCTGCGACTGGCGCATCGTCAACAGGATCAACGTTTGGAAGCACCGCGTTTGGTGGCAACACATCTGCTGCTTCGCCTTTCGGCCAAACTTCCACTCCTAAGTCGGCGTTCGGGAGCGGCGGTGCATTCGGCAGTGGCAGCGCCTTGGGCAGTACTCCTGCTGCGGCTACCTCTAGCCCAGCTTTCGGTCAGCCTTCATCTTTCGGGCAGTCCTCGGCTCTTGGTGGAAACAAGTCTCCCTGGGCAGCTGCAGGTTCAAGCTCAGCCACTACAGGGTCGACATTCGGACAGCCTAGCACCTTCGGCTCTGGAAACAAGAGTGTCTTTGGTAGCGGCTCGACACCGACAGCCGCGGCTACTCCTTCGTCAGGGGGTGATTTCGCAGGGTTTGCATCGTCTGGCGGCTTTGGTTCGCTTGGTAACAAGAACGCCAACGAAGGCGGCAGCGTGTTTGGAAGCAAACCCTCCTCAAGTCCTTTTGGTTCGGGCCAGTCTCCTTTCTCATCCACCAAAGATACTGCGTTTCCACCGCCCAGCCAGAAGCCCAGCAGTGGTGCTGGAGTCAATCCTTTCGCCGGTCAGCCCTTCAAGTTGGAAAGCAGTTTCAAGCCCGATCCTTCTGCAAAGGACGATGACGATGACGACGAAAAGCCTGCTACCAGTGGCGGATCCTCGTTCTTCGGCGGCGGCTTCAGCTCGGCCCTTGGAGATGCTAAGAAGCAGACAACACCTACTAAGGAGCAGAGCATGGACACAACGGAAGAGACACCCAAGCCTAAATCAGTTTTCGATTTGCCCTCCACGACACCCAAGGAGACACCTGCTCCTAACAAGGGACTGTTCGGACTCGGGACTGCGCCGCAAAATGGCCGAAGTCTGTTTTCCAAGCCCTCGCCAAAGTCCTCGTCGTCAGGCTTCAAGCTGGAGCCCCAGAGTAAGACTCCCACGGATGCTCCCTTGCCTCCCGACTCAACGAGCAGGGTTGAGTATCCTCTGGGAGAGTCGTCTTCTTCCTCAGGCGGGGCAAGTAAGGCTTCCCCGAAGGCAGGCGATGCTCCTCTTCCCCCTGACTTCCTCACGACGCCCAAAGCATCTCAGACGAAGGCTGTCGATGACCCGCTTCCTCCCGATTTCCTTAAGCCTAAGCAATCGACGAAGTCATCAGATGACGCACCATTGCCCCCTGACTTCATCACCCCCAAACCTAGTAAGGCTGTGCCATCGACTACACCTCCGACAGCACTGCCATTGCCCGCGGAGGAGAAGCCGAAGCAAACGGCGCCAGCGGCTGCCCCCGACTTCCTCAAGATGCCCAAGCAGTCTCTCACACAAGCAACCTGGTCATCCACGCCCGTCAGTGAGACGCCCGCTAAGGAGCCAGAAGACGCTCCCCTGCCACCCGATTTTATCACCAAACCCAAGACGAACGACCTCCCGGCCATACCAACTGTCCCGGATAGCGACCACGACAGCGATCTTGAGGAGGACGAAGAAGGGTCCGAGGGTAGTGGAGTCGACGTCGCAAAGGATCTTAGTCCGTCCATTGTGGCCATGACTCCCAATGCAGGTCTGACTCCTCAAAGCTCTTTCGGTGGTGTTAGCAGTAGCACTTACTCCATTCCGCGCACAGAGGAAGAGAGACCACGACATTCGCTATTCGGCAACAATGTGCCCACACTTCCTCGTCCTTCGCAAACGAGCCCACGATCCCCCAGCCCTGTCAGGGCCGCTATTCCAGGACGCCTGCGCCAAGAGTCAGCTCGCTCGGTTAGTGCCCCTGGTATGGCTTCTCAAATTCTCGGCGCCCAGAGAAAGCAGCCCTCCCAGATGGGTATGTCCATAGTCGGTTCTAAGACCACAATGGAGGACCCGTTCGTTGCGCAGCAGAGGTTGGCGCGCCAGAGGAGACAAGCTGAGGAGTCGCGAACTTTGGAGGACGAGGAGGACGATGAGATTCAGAAGATTCTTGCATCCAAGATCGAGCCCAGTCTCAAGCTGGACGACTTCATCGCGCACTCCAATGTGGTACCGTCAGCAAAGGAAACCATCCCCGCGCAAGTCGAAGCCGTCTACCGTGACATCAACTCCATGATTGACACTCTTGGTCTGAACGCTCGATCGTTGGCAAGCTTCATCGTAGGACACGATGTTGGCTTCAAGCAGGGTGGTCGCCGCAAGGAAGACCTTGAAAACCCCGAAGACTGGGTCTTGTCTGAGATCGACGAGCTCGGCGAGGTCATTGACAGATCTCTCGCCCGGGACCTAGAATATGGCCGTGTTCAAGATGTAGAAGAGAAGCTGGAGGCTTGCAACGAACTTGCGCGTGAGATGTCCCGCCTGCGGTCTAAGCAGGACGACCTCAAGAAGATTATGATGGTCAGACTCGATCCCGACCAGGCCGACATCAGCCGCTCCTTACCTTTGAGCGCCGAACAAGCTGCTCAGCAGAACGAGTTGCGTCGTGAGTATGCCAACTTCTCCAAACTCCTCGCCGAGGTG